GGTCCAGTCCACCGGGTCGGGCGGCCCGTTGCGACCCCTGGTTGCTAGTGTCTGTAATGGGTACGACGTGCTGTTTTTTCTATGTTATGTCATGGTTAACAGAACGATTGAATCCTAATCACAATGTTGTCTAATTAGCAAAATAAACTTTGAATTATTGATGCCTGTATTATAGAGTGAAGTGTAGAGAGCCTCCAAAAGCCTTGTCTTAACACTGGCGCTCATTGTTTTCTTCGATAATATGGGAGGAATTCAATTTTAATGAAATACAGATTCAAGGTCAATTTATTATTTAAATGTAGTGATAATTGAATTGATGCACGAGGAAATCATATGTGTAGTATATACAAATAGTTTCATACTGACTAATTAATCATGTAAATTAATTGTTAAATTGATTTTAAGACTCCTAGGAAGCAATATTGAAACTTTCTTATGACTCACACAAATAGCTGTTATTGGAAGTAAAACACAGAAGTGAAGCTTCCAGAGTTATGTGTAAAAAAATATGAGCTGCATGCTTTTTTTTACCCTTTTTGTATTCCTTTGATTTCATGCTGAGAGCAAACAAAATTCTTCTGCTAAAGCAGTTTTTATTTCATTCCTCATTCGTTTTACTCACATTGCCAAGGTAGTCATGTTTCTTTCAATATTACTGGCTTTTTTTACCGTCCTTTTGTTTGTTGTCTATCATTATTTATATTCCTCAAATTCTACAATTGAACATGGTTCTATGGAACCAAGACGAATCCCAACTGAATGGCTAATAGGCATGTATCATCCTTTTCGTTTCTATTAAGCAATACTTTGGTAAGACTATGTGGAAAGCTGTCTTACTGTGCTATTTTCGCCGGTACTTTCTTTCTCGGCGTATGCTATTATTTCCTAGTAAATAGTATTTTTCAATCTGTTCAAAACCATACTTGCTGCTTTAGGTATCATTTGGGCTGCGGGTTGTGGAGCATTTCATGAATCTATTGCCCGACTAAAATTAAAGTATGGTGATTTATTTGCGATTCAGCTCGGACGTGGTCGTGTTACAGTGGTTTCATGCACAGACTATATTCGTCACATTCTAACCGATCGAAACACCTATGAAATATCTGAAACAACCAATCGTAATTTCAAGCTAATTTTTCCTACAGCTCTATTGTCTATAAATGGCGATGATTTCAAGCGTCATTCTCGCATAATGTTGCCAATGTATCGGAAGAATAAAACATTACCATTTTTTGATAAAATTGTACTATGTATCGATCGTTTTATCGAGAAAGAATTTTCCTGCCAAGATCGTCGAATTCATAAGGATCTTATTGTGAAGTGTCAACATGTGCTTCTGAACATCATAGCTATAATTGGTTTTGATTATGATTTGGAAAGCGGTTCACGAATGGACGGGGAAGCGCTTCATCGAGCATTCAATGATGTTATCAAGTGTGCCAATCGTTTCGCTCTGATGGCCGGTATTCCGTTGTGGATAGCAAGAATACGTTTAGCAATTGATTTTAAATTTCAACGAGCTTTACGGATTCTTCGACACTATGTTATACGTATTATAGATGAAGAACAAAAACGACAACGCGACGAACAGCAAACATTAACTAAACCGAAAAGTCTTATAGCATCAATGGTGGCTGCAGCTGAAAGTGACCGACTAGAAATGGGTTTATCAAAAGCATCGCTAAGTACCAGTGAACTTTTCGATGAAGTATCTTTGTCCATGGTTGCCGGCTTTGAAACAACATCTACAGCATTATCTTGGTTCTTTTTTTTAATGTCAAAGCATCCGGATGTACAAGTAAAGATTAAAGAAGAACTTCACTATCATCGTTTAACTCCCAGTGCTATGATTACGCCTGAAGATTTAGACACATTGGTCTATATTGAATGCGTTATGAAAGAGATACTGCGATATGCTCCGATCGCTGCTGCAATTGTTCGTCAAGCAACGCGCGATGATATAATCAATGATATTATCGTCAAAAAAGGTGACATTTTTTTAATTGCGACGCAGAATATGCATCGAGATCCACGCTACTGGAAGATTGATCCGACAAAATTCATTCCTGAGCGATTTCTTGACGAAGACAAACGTCCACCTCCATACGCATACATGCCGTTCGGTGGCGGCCATCGAGCATGTATCGGTCAAGATCTGGCTTTGTTTGAACTCAAAATTGCAATTGCGCGACTTATGCAACGTATAACAATCGAAGATGCTGGCAATGAGGCAAACAATTCGGGTGGCTTCATTCAACGTATCACTTGCTTTCCAAAACATGTGGCTGTGAGAGTTTACATGGATTCAGACGTGCATGCGGGTGTGTAAAATTCGAGAACAATGAAAAGCGATTCTTTTTAAAATACTTTGATGGATATATATGTGTTTAAAATGATTATGAGAACCTACTAATAACTATTGTTTTAATATTGTTTCATGATGCCTACTCACTAAAAAAACATTTTCCACCTATACTGTTAATATTGATTTTATTGTTTTGCCAACAGAAAGTGGCGAAAAGAATATTTAGCTACTGCTTTCAAATTTTTAGAACTGAGAGCATGCGAATAAGCAATCTGTTTACACTTGAAACAGTATTATCGATAACATTCTGTTTAGAAAATGCTAATGCAAGCTACCTCAGTCAATCACTTCAATTATTTTAAATAATTCACTCATACTTTGATTGATTGAATAGTTGAGGGACTTTATGCAATTTTTATTAAAGCCTAATGTAATTGTTGAAATATATTCATAACAAATTAGATAACGAACTTCATTGTAGTTATATAAAAGTAAATTTTCTTGTCGAGTTAGTGAGAGTTAAGTCAGTAAATTACCTACTATTGATTCAATGATCTTAAAAATTTCTATCTTTCAATCATACTTGAGCTTAGCCTAATGTTTAAAAATATGTCATTGCTGTGTAAAACCAAGCTGTAAAAGGTTGTATTTATTCTTGTTACCCTGAAAGCGTCTGTTAGGCTAGGCAGTTGAGCCACATCGAAGAGTATTTATTTTTCGTTTAGATAGTTTGATTTTTATTCACAAAAGTACTGGAGTTTGAAAATACTTCTGTAGATCTGTTGAAGACCAAGTTTTATTGAATATTTGATAGCCAATATTCTCTGAATTTTATAATAGTTATGTCTGCGATCCAAGGAAATTTTCTCATGAGATTCAAGTTAGCATTGACTGCCAAATTTCGTTGTGGCATCTTTATATGAGAATTTAAGTCACATAAAAAGGCTGTACTTACCCTTCATAATTAAAGGTTTCTGATAGAGATGCAAAGTGACTTTTGATATCAATCAACGCAATACCAATCAGCACATGAAGAAAAAAAGATTTTTTTTGTCGATGCTGATAGCGTTTCGTGTTTCAAGATTTGCACGATTTTTTTCTAACATTATGAATTCTTCTATCAGACGCTGCGAAGATCATGCTGCTGTCAAATACTCAATGACATATTGGATTGAACTGGCTGCTCACCCTTTTTAATGATGTCTACTTATAGAGATATTGGGAGTTTAGATTTCTTCTTTTATTGAGTTAAGACTGGCATGTTTTTATTGGTTTTTAAATGTAAATGGACCTTTATGTCTTTGAAATAAAATTTAGAAAAAAAGCTAGTTCAAAGATCCCAAAGCTACTTTAGTTATCGATAGTATTGGTGTTGTTGTTTGTTTATTTTAATTTTAGTAGTGGTTATTTTCATTTATACAACGACATACAACTTGACATCAAGAAGCAATTCATGGTTCAGTTAAATCCCTATTTATTCGCATAGAGATTTCTAACGTACCAAGATCACCATTTAGCTGGAATTATTTTGGTTATTTATACAAAAAGAAAATAAACGAGTTATTACATCCAAAACGGATATAGTACAAAATAATCTGGTCAAAAAATACAATGCGTGTACGATGAAATACGCTTCTGTAACGGGACCCTACACTGAAAAAAAAATTCCATACGGAACTTAAAAAGGTTCCGAGATTTGCAACGAAATCTAAACCTTTTTTCGGGCGGGGTGCGTCGATACGGATACAATTTGTATCGCCCATCGGCATCGCATCTATGTTACATTGTTTCCATATATATATACCCCAGAAAAACCTAGAATTCATGAATCATGTAACGGCATCTAACGGCACGTATTGACTTGTATCGAGCCTGTGTTACAATGTATCCATATATATACCCCGGAAAACCCTAGAATTCATGAATCATGTAACGGCTTGTACCGGCTTCTACTGAGCCTCTGTTAAATTGCATCGATATATTGTAACAGAGGCTCGATACAAACCGATACATGCCGTTACATGCCGTTATATGATTCATGGTTTCTAGGGTTTTCACGGATATATATATCTCGATACAACGTAACATAGATACGATGTAGATGGGCGGTACAACTTGTATTTGTATCGGCGCAGCTATGTTTTTCGGTTTCGTATAAATATGGTTTCGTACGGAACCGTTTCCAGTTAGTATTCAAAATGGTTTCGTAGCTCAAATAACTTCTTCATTCGAATGCAATGCCTCTGCGTTTGCACTAATACTACCATTCACGCTTCCATTAGAATTTCGGCAACTATCCGTTTGTTAAAAAATTCATTCCTTAATTTATATCTTAACTTTTAAATGTATACCCTATGTTAAGCTCTTACTCTAAATCTAGCCCTTAATCTACATTGCTATTCTATATCTAACCCTTAACCTAAATCTAAATGGTTCACCGTTTAGATTTTTGTTTTACAATAATCAAGAGCAGTGTGTGAATATGCATCATCGTCAACTAATAAAAAAAGACCGATTCACACCCTAAACAATCAGCAAAGTATTTTCATCTCCTCAAACTCACAATTGTTATTTTTCTCTGTCCGGATTGACCTAAAACAAGAAAAATTCTAATATTATCATTGTACTTACCAATGATACATTTTGTTGTGATAAATGTAAATAGACACTACATGTTTCTGTTATTTTTTGATAGTAATCGGCTTTTGTCAATTGTGATCCGATGATTGTGAAGCGAAAAAACATGTTTGTTATTATGATAGTTACCGTGGATTTATTTCATGATATAAGGCCGGGAGAAAAATCGTTTGTATGTTTGGTATTCCTTATGTGAATCTTGTTAATGGAGCATACTTGCGCAAGTTAGATGATTCACTTCAAATTACTTTTCTCTGTATTTTGTTTCGAATTCTATCTCTATAGTCGTATAGCTGCTAATTGTTTCATGAGATAGCGTCCATTTTTCGACCTATGTAGTTGTGAGATAACTTATTCTCTAGGTTTATTGTTTTTCATGGCAAAGGCAAGTAAAAAATCGTAAAGATAACGGTAACAAATAAATATATAAGTAAATAGTTTTTAAAGCGTTTGTTATTAGAAATGTCTCAGTTATAAAAGAAAACTTCAAGCTGGAAACGTTTGTATTGGTTTGTATACATTTATATAAGAAAATATATCATTAAAGGGTTCATCTTAGATTTATGCAGAAGATTATGTTAGTCACATAAAATAACTACAATGCAGTCGTTTCAGCATTAACAACTTCTACATATTTGAACTTTTATCTAATAGGTACAGATTCTAGCACGATTATATTACATTCGATGAAACGTGGACATTTTTGCATATATATTTGATTTAATATTATTATTAAATAAAAGCATTCTTGGATATATATATACATAATGTCTACATATTTTAAGTTTTCTTTTCTGCTGCGGAGACTTAGTATATGATAAAAAGTTAAAAACAAATAATGTAAAAAAGTGGAGAATAAGAATACGATGAACAACATTTGTAACTAGATGGTATTCAAGTTTTACTCGAATACGAAATGCGATGCGAAGCTTGAACCAGGTATTCACGAAAAATCTTCAATTCAGAGAAATCTTGAATGCTTTTTATGTCAACATAATGAAATTCATCACTGAGAAAACTCCATTCTTACATAGCGATACATTCTTAAAGATCGCTTTCGAAAAT